GAAAATTTAATAGCCGTGGAATCGCGAAAACTCGAGGTGAAATTCAACAAGCCGATCTACGTGGGTATGTTCATCCTCGACATATCCAAGATCTGCTTGTATGAATTTCACCATGAATACATGCTGCCTCTGTACAGCGACAAGTGTAGAATCATGTATACTGATACCGACAGTCTCATATACCACGTCAAGTGCGAGGATGTATACGAGACTGTGAAACGTGATATACACAGATTCGACACGAGCGATTATCCGGTTGACAACGCGTACGATATACCGCTTGTAAATAAGAAAGTGCCCGGTCTAATGAAAGACGAGAATGATGATGCGATAATGACGGAATTCATGGGACTCAGAACGAAAATGTACGCATTGCGAGTTGGTAAGAAGGATACGAAGAAGGCTAAAGGCGTACAGAGTAACGTGGTAGAGCGAACGATAACGTTCGACGATTACACGCGGTGTCTCAACGATGAGATAGAAATGATCCGCCAGCAGACTTGTATAAGTCTTTATGTATTGGCATCTATTCGATCCGGCATCTATTACTACACGCAATACTACTCTACTTATCATTCTACAGCTGTATTTGCATTTATAAACATTTATTTAAACCTATCTTTTTGTTTAGACTTTTAATCTTAGTTCCAATTACACAATATTGTTCTTACATGTTGTCTCTAGGTCACTCCGGTCTGGAACTCCGGAGGGCCGTCAGGAAGGGCCTTAAGGGCAATACAGCCCCAGGTCCTGACGGCCTTCCTAAGCGTGTCCACGCCCTGGCCATGGGCGTCCTCGCAGAGGAATATGCGCGCGCGTATAGCGCGTGTCTGAGGAGAGGAGTCTTCCCCCCACGGTGGAGGAGTGCCACGTTGGTGCTCCTCCCGAAGGAGGGGAAAGACGCCTCTCTCCCGTCGGCGTATAGGCCAATTTGCCTTCTGGACGAGGTCGGTAAGCTGTTCGAGCGTGTGCTCGTGAACCGCCTCGTCCAGCACCTGTCCCAAGTGGGCCCCGACATTAGCGGGGCCCAATACGGGTTCAGGGAGGGCCTGTCCACGATGGACGCGATCGGGCGCGTCCAGGCCCTCTCTGAAGAGGCGACGTCCCAGGGGGGGGGGTGATGTTGGCGGTGTCACTAGACATCTCCAATGCCTTCAACACCCTCCCCTGGGGACGAATCAGGGAGTCGCTCCGACGCCGCGAGGTACCGGCGTATCTCGCCCGCGTCGTGAGCGACTACCTGAGGGACAAGGTGGGTCGAGTATATCGACCAAGGCGGCGTACGCCGACGGGAGAGATTGCACCGGGGAGTGCCCCAGGGATCGGTTCTCGGACCGTTCTTGTGGAACCTGGGGTACGACTCGGTGCTGCGTGTTCCCCTCCCCCCCGACTGTCACGTCGTCTGTTACGCGGACGACACACTCGTGACAGCCGGGGGCCGCGAGTGGGGGGAGGCCCTCGCCAGGGGGCGAGTGGCAGCGGGAGCGATAGTCGACTCTATCCGCAGCCTGGGCCTCGAGGTGGCACTCGGCAAGACCGAGTGTGGGGACGCGAAGCGTCTGTCTCTCTCTGCCAAGAGTGGGGGAAGCGAAGGGAAGGGAGCGAGCGTAGCGAAGCGGCGAGCGAGCGGGAGACTAGAGAGTCGTGGATCTCCAGACAGTATAGCTCGCTAGGTAACAATAAAGTTCCTTACAGTCTTGTCAATTAACGAGGAGTTATTATTCCATCGCCCAAGAGTAGTTAGCCACAGGAGTAGGCCTGTGCAGCAGTCTCCCGGAACCGAGTCCGGAAGTACCTACAATTGGTGACCCCGACGTGATCGTCGGACGTCTTGGACCAAAATCGCAGCGAGAGGACCTCCACGGCTTCCTGCATAGCTACCACACGAGGAAGGCTTCGGGGTTTTCTGCCCCGCACTCTCAGTGCGGGCCGCCCAGCCGGTTCGTCGGATCCTTCGCCTCTGCTCAGCAGCAACGACGGAGATCGCCAGCGCTCTTCGAGCTAGAGTAGATCCGGCCTTGGTTTTAGCCACAAAGCCGAGTGGCGCGCGGGGAACTCCCTCGCCGCCACATTGATCATCGCAGCAGGGCGCACCTACGGCAGCTTCAGACAGCGGAACCAGCAAGGGTGTCATGGCGCCTGCCGCATAACCGCGCGGACCTGAACGACAGCCATCTTGGGATTCTGCAAGCAAGAAGTCAGGACGTCTGCGCCTCACCCGCGAAGCCATTGATGCCAGCAATTTTGAACCCCTGATACTAGCGTATGAATTTTATCTTTAATTTAGTCCCGACGGACCCTGCATAAGCGTATATATTTAGAGTAAGACCGCGGGACATCAGCGCCGTTCTGTATTGTTTTCCTGTCTTAGCAACACAAGTCCCAACCTTCCTTTGTTTTTCGGGGGGGGGGGGTCGCGCGTGCATTTTGTTCGCGTCACAAAAATGGCGTCTCAGGCAAAGCTCGACGAGTTGGCTAAAGAAAATGAGCGCCTCTCTAACATCGTCTCCGCGAAAGATAACCTCGATCCACCCGGTAGCTCGGATGCAGGGGGGGGTGTCGAAATTCCTGTTGCGGACAACGTGGAACCGCGAGTCGATCAGCACTATCGCACGCCAAAACTTCAGCCCTTTTACAAGGCGGATCCTGCCTTGTGGTTTTTTCGGTGCGACGCGGCGTTTAGGAACGCGAAAATAACGCGAAGTGAGAGCAAGGTCGATTATGTAATCGAAATGTGCGGAAATGACGTGGTCACTAGCATTGCAGACATTTTGCGCCTCGAAGTATGCCCGGATAGGTACGAGCGAATCAAAGATCGGCTGATTCAGTCGTTCGGCAGCTCATCCGAAACTAAGCTTCGGCAGCTTTTGCGAAACCAAGTTTTAACGGACGGTAAACCGTCGCAGATTCTAGCTCGATTGCAGAGTTTGAACGAATCCGGTTGTGATGACAGTGTGATCCGCACACTTTTTCTGGAACACTTGCCTCAGCAATGTAAACTAGTGCTTGCCGTATCCGAAATTACCGATCTACAGAAGCTAGCGTCCGTAGCGAATAAACTAATGGAAGTCGCGCCGTCGGTTTCAAATAGCTCGTCATTTGCGGTAACCGCGGCCGCGAAGGAGCCTGAGTCTGACAATACAATGACGTCATTGTTAACCGCACTTAAAGCGTTAAATTGTAACGTCGAAAAGCTGAGCAAGAAGGTTGACCGTCGGTTGCGATCAAGAGAACGCAGTGCTTCTCGTAGTAGATCTCCGTCGAGATCGGGCAGTAAAATTCGGTCTGGTTCCGGGCAGAGCGGTCGATCCAAGTCAAAGTCACGTGTTGCACAAATGTGCTGGAAACACAAAAGATTCGGGAAGAAGGCGCACGATTGCGCCGACCCTGAGTCGTGCACTTTCGATAAAACGGAAAACGAATAAGACCTTCTCTCGCGTTGGCGGGCGGAGAAGGTCAAGAACATAGCAAACGTCTTCATGTGCGTGACCGAATCTCGGGGCTTGTATTTTTAATTGATTCTGGTGCTGACTTGTCACTTATCCCGGTAGGAAAAAGAAACGTGCCCAAGCCAGCTCACCTTAAGCTCCGTGCCGCGAACAATACCCTAATCGATACTTTCGGTGATTCTCACCTCGTCCTCGATTTGGGCCTCAGGCGACATATATCCTGGAACTTTTGCGTTGCATCGGTTCCAACCGCAGTCATTGGGGCGGATATCTTATCGCAATTCGGTCTAGTAATTGATCTCAAGCACAAACGCCTAATCGATCCGCTTTCTGACATCTCTGTTCCAGGCAGTGTCAGACCAAGCCCGATGCTCTCTTTGAGTGTCGTCAAGTCTTTCTCACACAGTCGTTATTCGGATATACTGGCAGCCTTTCCGGAACTTTTCCGCACGGCACCAGTGGCCCCTTTAGAAGTGCGAGACGTACTACATCACATTGTAACGTCTGGGCCCCCGGTCTCCGAGCGACCTAGACGGTTGTCCCCAGACAAACTCAAGGTGGCCAAGGCAGAGTTTAAGCAAATGTGCGAGGCCGGAATCTGCCAGCCGTCTTCTAGTCCTTGGGCCAGCCCGATTCATATGGTTCCCAAGGCCGACGGTTCGTGGCGAATATGCGGTGACTATCGCCGCCTCAATGCCGTCACTATACCCGATAGGTATCCACCACCTCGATTGCAGGACTTCGCAGCAAATTTACACGGTGCAACCGTTTTCTCGACCCTCGATTTACATGCGGCTTACTACGAAATTCCGGTCGCTCCGGAAGATGTGCCAAAAACAGCCGTCACCACTCCCTTCGGATTATTTGAATTTTTAGTCATGACCCCAGGCCTGCGCAACGCTGGTCAGACGTTTCAGCGCCGTATGGACCAGGCGTTCTCTGGCCTTGATTTTGTTTTCGTTTTTTTTGATGATGTTCTCGTTGCCTCCTCGAGCCCAGAGCAGCACGAGGAACATCTCAGGATTGTCTGTGATAGGCTGAAAAGATTTCATACTTACAGTCTTGTCAATTAACGAGGAGTTATTATTCCATCGCCCAAGAGTAGTTAGCCACAGGAGTAGGCCTGTGCAGCAGTCTCCCGGAACCGAGTCCGGAAGTACCTACACGAGGCCGTGATGTTCCACGGTAAAAGACGTGGAGCACGCGGCGCGCCGCCCGAGGGACTCACCCTGGCTGTGGGTACGGCCCTCGTCGGGATCGGCCACGAGATGAACTATCTCGGGTTGATCCTCGACGACCGATGGAGCTTTGCGAGCCACCTTGCCAGAGCCGCAAGCAGGGCGGGAGTGAGAGCGGCCAAGCTTAGCCGGCTCCTCCCCAACCTTGGCGGCCCGGACGGCAAGGTGCGTCGGCTGTACGCCAATACGGTTCAGTCCGTGGCGCTCTACGGGGCCCCAGTTTGGGCCCCAAAACTCGCGGCAT